GAGGACATGCTGTGTTTGAAAGCAAGAGAGCGTACGAGTCATTCTATTCCATTTCTCCCATAGGTAGAGACAAAGGAGAGCCTGATTACATTACACTGTCCTCGCTCGCCTTCCCTTCTAAGGTAATAAGAGCTCTATGTCCCCTGCTCTGCTGATTGGCATGGGCTGGGCCTGGCAATAAAGGCAGAGGGGACGGACTCAGACAACCCCTCCAGTGAACTGTCTCCACCACACGCAGCCCACTTCCTGTTTCTCCCCTGCTCCCGGGTCACCTGTTGGTGTTGGTGTGCTGCCAAGCGAAGGCCTAGCGGAAATGAACCAATGTGTCAGAAATGAGGCTGAACTCTCTCTCTCTCGCTGCCTCAAGCAAACACACGCAGAGAGCGAAAGAGAGCTCTGATTGGCCAGCTATCCAGTGTGTTGTGATTGGCCGAATGCCTCAAGCGTGTGACGGAAATGTTACACCCCTTACCGTATTTGGAAACACACAGCGTCTCCAGGACATGGTGCCTTTCTTTGCTCAAACATTTGGGCGGTGTTATGCAAATCTTCCAACACTGTGACATAGATATGTGGGGGCATTAGGATGAGGCATTTTAGGAAGGTGTGGACGAGTCTTAATTTTTATAAAGAATATCTCGTTGGGTTTGAGACTGTAGTCTTTGCAACTTTACGGATCGTATATGCACGAACAGCTTGTAACACTCCAAAGACAAAGGAAAACTTGAAATCGCATCATATGACCCCTTTAAAATCTTAAAATTTGTAGAAGTGAGTGTCCAATATCAGTCAATAAATATGCAGAATTGACCACACCAGTAAACAAAATACTAATATTGGCTGATAACTAATATGGTCATGCATCCTTATTACTGAAGTTTGTACAGGAACTGAAAGTGTGTAAGTTGTATGTGCAAATGTGTGTGTGTGCAGCCACATTCCCCACCTGTCTGACTGAATAGCCCTGGTGACTCAAGGAACCCAAAAGAACCTGCCAGGGCCACTTTAATAATATTACAGCCCCTTTCATGATGGGAATCATGAATAATGCAACACACACAATATAGAAACCATTTGTCCAAAATGCAACTAATATAGATGCATTTGTCACTCAAGATGCTCTCAGAGATGCAAAAGTTGGGCAATGACTTTTGGTCTGTTCATCTGCAACTGAGATCAGCAACTTGAAGCCAGATATCAGCACATAACAGCATCTGGCCTCTCGCTCAGAGTGTCATGCTGTGTGATACAGGGCTTCTTTAGCTGCGTGGATATTTAAATTAAGTGCAGAGCTGGCAGTTCACTCTCTCCTAAATTGGCTCGTTTGGTGGTGAGGACGGTCTTATAGTGGAGGACTGAGTCATTTTGGGTCAGCTGTGACTGGCCTCTGACAGGTCCATGAGCCGAGGGGGTTATTTTAGTCCCGCGGGGCCTCGCCGTGGAAGCCAAACTCTGCAGCCACAAATTTGCCCCACAAGACAAGGCATCATTCCTACTGTTAGATGCTCCAGTCTCATTGTAGACTGCATTTTATTGCCTAGCCTTTATAATTTTCTGGTTGGATTATTGTACAAAAACACTGACCCAATTAAATGACAATATTCTTCATCAAACACTTCTTTGATGTGATAAATGCTTATTTGTTCTCGTCCATTGAGTCCGCCGTGCTATCGGTGTTATTCTTGTGGCGACGCTGCCCACAATGTTATCTTATTTCACATGCTAGAATGAACACAGCTGCACACATGCCCTCTTTCTCCTTTTCTCTCTCTCTGTAAACAGCCAAAAGCAGCAGCTCTCCCAATAACACCATTCCTGTAAACCTGGTTAAACTGTGTTTTGGCATTCTGCTGCACTGGGGGGCAAAGTCCTAGTACCGTTCATCTACAGCACACTCGGAGCAAAGGGAAACATTTACACGGTGTGAGTGCGAAGCTTTGACATACGGAGGAATCCTGGAATACTTTCCAAACCATTTGCCTAAATAACAGGCAGACGACAGGGTGCTGGTAGGGGGGCTGGCTCATGGAAAACTCTTTGGGAGAAGTCCTAGGCTGTTTTTTACTGCCTGCAGGCTTGAGAGTCTTCTGGTTTTGATCATGTCACTGTCTTTAATGGGATGACTACCTCATCTGAGTGAAGACACATGGAGTTGTGCCGCCAAGAATGGGAGGTGACATTAGATGCTCCAATCTCATTGTAGTCTGCATTTTATTGCCTAGCCTTTGTAATTTTCTGCTTCGATTATTGTGCAAAAACACTGACCCAATTAAATGACAATATTCTTCATCAAACACTTCTTTGATGTGATAAATGCTTATTTGTTCTCGTCCACTGAGTCCGCCGTGCTATCGGTGTTATTCTTGTGGCGACGCTGCCCACAATGTTATCTTATTTCACATGCTAGAATGAACACAGCTGCACACATGCCCTCTTTCTCCTTTTCTCTCTCTCTGTAAACAGCCAAAAGCAGCAGCTCTCCCAATAACACCATTCCTGTAAACCTGGTTAAACTGTGTTTTGGCATTCTGCTGCACTGGGGGGCAAAGTCCTAGTACCGTTCATCTACAGCACACTCGGAGCAAAGGGAAACATTTACACGGTGTGAGTGCGAAGCTTTGACATACGGAGGAATCCTGGAATACTTTCCAAACCATTTGCCTAAATAACAGGCAGACGACAGGGTGCTGGTAGGGGGGCTGGCTCATGGAAAACTCTTTGGGAGAAGTCCTAGGCTGTTTTTTACTGCCTGCAGGCTTGAGAGTCTTCTGGTTTTGATCATGTCACTGTCTTTAATGGGATGACTACCTCATCTGAGTGAAGACACATGGAGTTGTGCCGCCAAGAATGGGAGGTGACAGCTAATGTTACCAAAGAGCCGGCATTACAAAGAACGGCCTACAAAGAAATGCGTTGCAGTTTGCAGAAGTCTTGTAATAGGTGGTAATTTCCAACTCTTCAATCCATTAAACAGATAGTTCGCTCAAAAATGATCATTCTGTGATCATTTATTCACACTCTTGCCTTTTCAAACCTGTATGACTTTGTTTAAGCCGCAAAACACAAAAGAAGTTACTTTGAAGAGTGTGTTTCTCCATGAAATGAAAGTCAACCCTGATTGGACACCATTGACTTTCACTTTATGGACAAAAAAGGATACCTGTTTCAAAATATCTTTTGTGTACCACAGAAGAAAGTAAGTCATACAGGGATGAGTTTTCCAAACAACAATGTAATTCATTGCTTAACTATCATAGTACGATGTATTGTTGGAGAAAGGAACTAACTAGTCACAACTGTTTCCCGAAAACATAGGAAGTTTGTCGCACATTCGTCATTTGAACCACGATGGTTAGAAGTGTCATGACGTCGAACAGGTGGTGGAGTGGTAACTTCTGTTAAACAATCATTTCAAGATCAAATTAATGTCAAATTATTGCTGTAAATGACAAAGGTAACATTTGAGGACTGCTTTGCTATTTTTATTCTCCGTTAATTTGCTGTATTTTGCGGGTTTCCTTAAGCTCAGCAAACACTGTGAAATTTTGGCCACGATTTGGTTGTCTGAGACAAATTTTGAAATAAAATAAGATCCGTAGTCTTTGATTGCTGGTTTGATGTTCACTGACGACCTATTAATGGCCGTTGCGATCAAATTTTACCTCCGGCAAAATTGTGGCAGTGTCAGAACATTTGCCGCACAGTCTCCTATGACGAACGTCAAACTATCTTCATATTTCAGGACAAGCCATGGTCAGAATTAATGCTAGAGATTTCTTCTAACCACCATAAAATCCGGCGCTCATGGAATTCCTATATGTTGCCTTTGTTATGATAAACACCGGTTGCGCCGCTGTTTTCATGTGGGTGTGTAGGTGCTGCTTACACTATTCCCCTTAAATGCGCCGGTATTGCCGTCATTCATATACTTTTCATGATAGCCAACATTTCAGCCCCACATGTAATGCAACTCACATTCACTGAAATGTGTATGGGTTGATAATATAAAACTCCGGACAAGTTTTCTTGCACGCATCCGTTTTTAACGCGTCTTGACTGACGTACAGTCTGACATTAATGACAACCGAGATCCCAGAGTGTGACATCATGTTCGTATAGTCTGACAAGCAACAATCGTAAAGACTATTAAAAATCGCACAGTGTGTGCCTGGCTTTACATCACTTTGAGGTTCCTCTTTAATTCACTTAAACTACAAGTCTTAAAATAAAATTTGAATGAAATTACAATTAGAAAATTAGAATATGGAATGAAAGATATAGATGGCACTACTTGTCAGTTTGCTTAATTTGCTTATGTGCATGATCTATTTAAGTCCATATGTCTTGCTAACAAGAAACTATGCTTCTAAGCACAGGTCAAGAGCTATAGTTCCAACCACACAACTTTGCAATGCGGATTGCAGATGTTTACTGGAACTATGGATTTATGAAACACTAAATCTATGCTGGTAACGACAGAAATTGCGACCCTAATTGCCTAACTTTGCTTTTGGGAAATGCACCCCAGGTTGGGAACAACATGAAGCTGAGTAAATGATGACATAATTATCATTTCTTAACCAGAGGGCCAGCCCCACTAGGGCCCCAAGAAGTCGTAACATTATTTACATTTAGTCATATTTACATAATCTTAATTAAAATGCTAAAAACACTAAAAATGTAATATATACAACATTAAACTGGCATCATATTTTTTAGGGGTTTTTTTACAACAAGAAACACATCAGTATAAATAGGATAGCCTTCGAATACTGTCTTGGACAAAGGGAGGTTTGAACTCAAAAAGGTTGAGATCTAGTGCTTTAAAGTCAAACTAAAAAAAGCAGAATCTTCAAACACACAATATGAATCTACATTATTAGCACTACATCAACACACAGTTTTTTTTATCTGAAGACAAGTCAGTGTGCATATGTTGAAGTTTGATTTCCAGTGCATGCTGGTGTGTTTGTGAGAGTGTGTCTTTAGAGAATACTCACTCCTGGACTGCTCGTGCTATAGACAGCGCCGCGGATCCGGTTTCATTAACACTGTCCAAGGTCACGTTTGGCAGGTCGTCATCATCACTGTCACTTTTGATTTGTCTTGGCGACAGGCCATTGGGGTCTGTTTGTGCTGCCGCAGGGGGAGGACAACAGAGGAGGAGGTTAGTTACAAGGCTGTAATATGCGTACCGCCCGAGGCTATTTCTCAGGCCCATTCAGCAGCTCACAATATGCCACATGACACTGAGCAGAAATTAGCACAGCATTTCAGGGTGTTTCTTCAACTTTTGGCACTTTAATGTCCCAAGGGTTGATTTTTATTAAAATGAACAGATTTCTATTTTTTTTTTTTCTGTTTATTATATTAAGGTCACATTAAATTAGAACCATTATCATGCCTTCATTATTTATAGCTGCTACTTTTTAAATGCCCAAAAATTAATTATGCCCAATAAAACAATAAATGCTCAATAAAACATGCAATTTCCACCACAGAATGCTGTTAAAAACAGTACACCATTTTAAGTTGGTGGAAATGAAATTGCAGTTTATTTAATAAATGTCCACAGGGCCAAGAGGGAACAAATATAAAACTCAACAAATACAATATTAATATTGTAATATTAAAAAATATTGGCATTAACCAGGCACAATACAAAAGGATTTCCAGCTACAGTAATTTTGCATATACTATTAAGGCAGTATATACTTTTTTTTTTTTTTTGGAAGTTTTACAAATTTTTTGTTTGTTTTTTCATCTTTATTAGCTTTTGTTAGTTGTTTTATTTAATTTTAGTACTTCAAATTAAATGAAAATGAGAAATGTTTCCTTATCAACTAAATTAAAAAAAAGTTTTTTTAAAGTTTAAGTTTTCATCTAATACATATATTTCAGCTTTCTTTCAATTATTGAAAATTATTTTTGATCGTTTTAATTAACACACTGGTAACAACACTGGTGTGAAGTGACAGAATCTCAGCCATTTGATGTTTAATTTACAGTGTTGCGGAGGGGCATTTTGGACCAAATATATTTCACCTAAAAAGCCAGATTGGCGTGTGTGTGTGTATGTATATATATATATTTATGTATGTATGTATATCTATATTCAGTATATATGTATATCTATATATATAACTGATAAAAAAAGTAAAAAGTAAAATAGAAGCATCTGTCAAATGCATAAATGTAAATGTGAAAATGTTGTTGCTTTATTATATTGCACCTGGTTACAATGTAATACTAAAACAGTTGTCTTTGTCTAATATCATATGATACATTTGTGGTGTGTTCTTGTTTGTGAGTTTGTCATCAAATACAGGTTTTTAATTCAGACACACCTGTATATGTCAGTGTTTTAGACTGGCAGTCACAGAACACCCATCTCTGATTACTGGATCTCATTCCCCACAGAACGAGAGCAGCATTCTCCCTGACTGCAAGCTATGTTAATATTATGTGGGTTAGCCCAGCCTGCAGGGCTACGCTTCTAATTCGCTGCTCTCTCAGCAGTCTGTCAGACCTGATCCCGGATCAGAGGCGTCCGTGCTGTCTCCCATTCGGCCTTGGGCAGTGTGTCCTGCAGGCATGTCACCAGCACAGGCGATCAGATGCCCGGAGAGCGTCTAAAGACAACAGAGCTATGCTGCCGCTCACCCTTTGTTTCCAGGATGTTTGACATACAGGTGCATCTCAATAAATTAGAATGTCGTGGAAAAGTTCATTTATTTCAGTAATTCAACTCAAATTGTGAAACTCGTGTATTAAATAAATTCAATGCACACAGACTGAAGTAGTTTAAGTCTTTGGTTCTTTTAATTGTGATGATTTTGGCTCACATTTAACAAAAACCCACCAATTCACATCTCAACAAATTAGAATACTTCATAAGAACTTCATACTTCAATAAAAAAAACATTTTTAGTGAATAGTTGGCCTTCTGGAAAGTATGTTCATTTACTGTACATGTACTCAATACTTGGTAGGGGCTCATTTTGCTTTAATTACTGCCTCAATTCAGCGTGGCATGGAGGTGATCAGTTTGTAGCACTGCTGAGGTGGTATGGAAGCCCAGGTTTCTTTGACAGTGGCCTTCAGCTCATCTGCATTTTTTGGTCTCTTGTTTCTAATTTTCCTCTTGACAATACCCCATAGATTCTCTATGGGGTTCAGGTCTGGTGAGTTTGCTGGCCAGTCAAGCACACCAACACCATGGTCATTTAACCAACTTTTGGTGCTTTTGGCAGTGTGAGCAGGTGCCAAATCCTGCTGGAAAATGAAATCAGCATCTTCAAAAAGCTGGTCTGCAGAAGGAAGCATGAAGTGCAAAATTTCTTGGTAAACGGGTGCAGTAACGTTGGTTTTCAAAAAACACAATGGACCAACACCAGCAGATGACATTGCACCCCAAATCATCACAGACTGTGGAAACTTAACACTGGACTTCAAGCAACTTGGGCTATGAGCTTCTCCACCCTTCCTCCAGACTCTAGGACCTTGGTTTCCAAATGAAATACAAAACTTGCTCTCATCTGAAAAGAGGACTTTGGACCACTGGGCAACAGTCCAGTTCTTCTTCTCCTTAGCCCAGGTAAGACGCCTCTGACGTTGTCTGTGGTTCAGGAGTAGCTTAACAAGAGGAATACGACAACTGTAGCCAAATTCCTTGACACGTCTGTGTGTGGTGGCTCTTGATGCCTTGACCCCAGCCTCAGTCCATTCCTTGTGAAGTTCACTCAAATTCTTGAATCGATTTTGCTTGACAATCCTCATAAGGCTGCGGTTCTCTCGGTTGGTTGTGCATCTTTTTCTTCCACACTTTTTCCTTCCACTCAACTTTCTGTTAACATGCTTGGATACAGCACTCTGTGAACAGCCAGCTTCTTTGACAATGAATGTTTGTGGCTTACCCTCCTTGTGAAGGGTGTCAATGATTGTCTTCTGGACAACTGTCAGATCAGCAGTCTTCCCCATGATTGTATAGCCTAGTGAACCAAACTGAGAGACCATTTTGAAGACTCAGGAAACCTTTGCAGGTGTTTTGAGTTGATTAGCTGATTGGCATGTCACCATATTCTAATTTGTTGAGACAGTGAATTGGTGGGTTTTTGTTAAATATGAGCCAAAATCATCACAATTAAAAGAACCAAAGACTTAAACTACTTCAATCTGTGTGCATTGAATTTATTTAATACACGAGTTTCACAATTTGAGTAGAATTACTGAAATAAATGAACTTTTCCACGACATTCTAATTTATTGAGATGCACCTGTAATGGTTTGGGTTACTGTAATTCAGCTTTGGATTTGAATGCACTGTAGTAAGGAATGAAGCAGGGAGTTAAGGTCCTTCGTGAGTATTTTATTTTACGCTTGTGCTATAATTTGAAGTATTTCATAGTTTTAGTAAAATATCCTTCAAGAATTGAAGGACTACTGGAATTGTTTTAAGATACGCAACCAAATTACACAATATCTGCCTAAAACATATTCTATTCAATAGTATCAACTTCATACATCCAGTGTATTCCCAAACAGACACAATTAAACACTGCCACCTAACCTAAGGTTTGCTCAGACTTACACTACTGTTGTTTTGAGGCCAGTAAGATTTTTTTAATCAGCAAGGATAGATAGATACTGTAGATACAAAGTGATTTCTAAACTGGAATACAAAGATCATGTAGTGACCAGAAGTGACCATATTGCATGTTAGTGCCTAAACCAACAGAAGTCTCATTATGAGGCTGTTAAACAGAATCTGGATGGTTATCAGAGATCATTGATTTGGTCAGTATGTCAAAGTTATAAATAAAAACACGATACAGATGGCATCTAGGAAGCACACATCATCACTTTTAAGTCGGTCTCTCTGTTTCTCCTAGCAAGAACAGTTTGGTTACACTATTTTTGCTTTACCACAGTTTAATCATTCAGATTAGAGTATGTGGTTAAGCTTAAAAAGCCAGGTAAGTAGGTAATTCTGTAGCACATATAAGCTATAGGTTCATAACAAGCAGAAGATATTGAGCAAAAGTTATCACATTAAGCGATCTGTAATGACTTTGATTACTTAATTTTAACTGTAGGGAATTAATTATTATTAATTCATTCAGGTTTTGATAGGACTCGGATCTGAATATTCAAAGTCCACCTGATTAAACCGATTTCAAACCTGTTATGTTACACTTTAAATCAAGGATCGTCCAGCGAGCCGTGACATCAGTATATTTTAACAAATCAAATATGTGTTTTACCTGGCCATGGGTTAACACAATTATGTAAGCTCTTAGAGGTAATTATTAATAGTACGCTACGAGCTAGGTAGCAAGCAAGGATCTTTTTGGCAACAGTTTTAACCTTGAAATTATATGACACCAACAATGATTCTTTATAAATGAAACATGAATTTATTTGCTATTCTAGATTTACATCACAACTAAGCTAAACACATACACACACAAACACATATACAGCTCAGAAAATTGAAGGACTGAGTTAACGGAGTTTCATAGTTCTACCTCGTTTTCACGAGTGATTATTTTCTGGTAAGATATCTGTACTTTTACTTGAGTATGGCTTTCAGGTACTTTATACACCACTGGTTACAAGTTCTTCATGGAATCATCAATGCAAGAAGTCTTCAAACTCGGTCCTGCAGAGTTTAGCTCCAACCCTAATTAAACACAGCTGAACCAGCTAATTACGGTCTTATAGGTGCATCTCAATAAATTAGAATGTCGTGGAAAAGTTCATTTATTTCAGTAATTCAACTCAAATTGTGAAACTCGTGTATTAAATAAATTCAGTGCACACAGACTGAAGTAGTTTAAGTCTTTGGTTCTTTTAATTGTGATGATTTTGGTTCACATTTAACAAAAACCCACCAATTCACTATCTCAACTAATTAGAATATGGTGACATGCCAATTAGCTAATCAACTCAAAACACCTGCAACGGTTTCCTGAGCCTTCAAAATGGTCTCTCAGTTTGGTTCACTAGGCTACACAATCATGGGGAAGACTGCTGATCTGACAGTTGTCCAGAAGACAATCATTGACACCCTTCACAAGGAGGGTAAGCCACAAACATTCATTGCCAAAGAAGCTGGCTGTTCACAGAGTGCTGTA